TAAACGACCCAACTAGCAAATTCTAATTAAAGAAATTTATTGCGAAAGCTATTACCTCAGCCAGCATTTTAACCCTGGACCTGCCTCTAGGCTGTGTTTAGAAACGTTACCCGAATAACCCAGTGTACCGTTTTATCCTTGTTGCTACCGAATGTTGTTAACCAATGTTAAACAAGGATAAAATGATATACTCGGGCACTCGGAGTGTTTTCGAACACAGCCCTGGACGATCGACCGTCTCACCAACATGTCTCATTGTCAGTGGTGAGACGCCCACCTAGGGTGTAGGAAGATCCAGGTTCAAACCCTCGCTGAAGTAATATTTTTCGCAATAAATTTCTTTAATTAGAATTTGTCAGGTGAGTTAATAATAATTCCCTCATTTGTTAATTATTTACTGGCGATAATAAATCTTTATTCTCATCTTCCACTTTGTGTTACAAACTACGAGCCTGACATTATTATTTAAAATTGACAAATTGTTCTCACGTGACGCCTACAAATAGAAATTTTTGATCATATTTATACTGTATGTAGATATAAAATATATTTAAATAAAATTTGCGTTAAACAATAAGAACTAGGGCCAAAAAATAAACGAGCACTATTAGACGTTATTATAAATACATTATTTTAATTTCGTTAGACGGAACTTCTCTTTTCGCAAACATTCCTCTGGATCTTGTAATTGATGGTTAAAAGATAGAATCCACAAAAATATCAATTGATGAGTTTATTTCCTCTCAGTTAAGTTGGTTTTATCTTCTACCTATTTTACTTTTAACCAGACAACTTACAAGCAGACTTTTGGAAACCCTATGAACTTCCCTTTGTCGCCAGTCATCGCAGATATTGTGATGCAAAACTTCGAGGAAAAAGTTTTAAATACTATTGACATAAATTTATCATTTTACTATTCACATTTTACCACAACTAACTTGATATTTTACTCGAGCAAACAACGGTAAGAGTCTTTTGACGCCGAATGTGTTCTTGCAACCAAACGACGAAAAGGTTCTGCGATATTTTTCTAATTGCAAAACTATTACTGTGATTACCGATTTTTGTTCATCTTGTGTAATTTTATATTGTACTAGAAATGACAAAACGTGCGCTTCGCGCGCGCAATTTGTAGTTGAGCATTGTATACATGCAAAGAAGGTATGCGCAACGTAAATTTAAAATAAAAAATAATTTATCACTCACTGATACGATTCGCAACAGCAGAGTTGTACATCGTTAACTGTACATGTTAAACTGTAAAAATACAAATATGCAATATAATTATTATAGACTAATTATGCAAAATCGAGGTTATTGTATTAAATATACTTTACATTTTATATTGTAAAAATAGGTATTTATTTAAATATTTATATAGAATACTGAATTTTTAATATAAACTCACAAAATTTTATACGTATGGTTTTTTCTCTAACTTTTATTCGAATCCTCGTTCGAATCATTTGAATAAATAAAACAAAAGTGGAGAACAGATGCTTTATTTTGCACAAGTAGCAAATAATATAAAAATATAAAATACTCACCTTACGATTTCTCTGCCGTTGCCCGATGCCTCCCAGGCCTGCTCCTCTCAGATTTCCTTGTTGCACTTACACAACACTCACTCGCGAAAATCATCGATCGCGCGAAATTTCCGGCACTCCCGTACGCGATGTGAAATACCGCGGAACGCACGAAATATTATTAACAAAATCGCGTGATTTTCTGTCGTACAAATTACTCGAACTAACAACTTGCATTTTTTATTAGGAAGAATAGGATAATGGATAAATCACTTTTGAATTGGCGATATAAAATGCAACGCGTGCATCGGAATCCAAGCATGATCTGCGGCAAAGACGTAGTTATTAGTCCGCAACGAAAGGATATTTTACAATCTTTGTCATTCAATCTAATCCTCGAAATAAATTACGTGAACAAAATTTCCAGCGATTAATAGTTGTTATTAATTGCAACAGTTAATCGAGACAATTTTCGATTACATTTAGATAATGTAACGACGTGCAACAAGCGACTTTCTTTACTTTCTGCCTATTCGAATTGCGAAGAACGACAGAGCGAATTACAGCGCGTACGCCGAAGTCGTACAAATTTATCTCTTTTTTCGAAAATGGAACCGATTACACGAAATCGATAGATAATTAAAAGCACGGTGCGTAAACGAGATGTAACCGCAACAAAGTACCACGGTTTACATTCATATTTTAGATGAATTAGTCTCGTGAAATATCTATGTATGTATACGCTGATAAAGAGCCATTGTCCCAACATACAATTCGTTTCTCATTGCAAGTTGTAGAAACTTAATAATTAATCGAGGAACGTCACTTGTTAATGGTAACCCTAGTAGCACAGTGCATTGGCCAAATATTGGTTAAACATTGGCCCTATACAACCAAATATTGGGCCAATGTTTAACCAATGCACTATGCTACTAGGGAAAGGTGTAGAAATCAATAGCGTTTTATCCCTGCATTCATCGCGATCGAGCCTTGGAAACCGATAACGCAAAAGTAATACCACGCACGGAGCGACTCTCGCCACTGCTTGCCGGCTCGACGTTCGGCGAGCGAGTGATAGCGTGGCGACCTTCACGCAACAATGGCCCACATAACGTCGCACGATACCGCGTAGGCAGACAGACAACAACAAACGGTGAGAGTTGTTCCAAAATTGTTCCGAAACTACGAAATTGAAAATTCTATACTCAATATTTCAAATTAATAATCTGTTCAGTGACTGTTATTACATGTTGCATATTATTCTGCGGTTTCTACTTATTGGTATTGATTAAATTAACGATTAATTCTGTTTAATCAAGAAAATGTTTTGAAACAAAAATCGTTGTCACTTAAATTCTAATTATCGCGGAAAAGAGGCCTCAACTGTTCGATATTAACGACATTTGCTCTGGTAACATCTCTTTTTTAGAAAGGGATTTTCACATTTACCTCAGCCTCTTGTACACAGACTTTTACATTTCATTGTTTTAACTTTTTGACTTTTTCAATTTATTACGTTTTAATTTATTTTTTGTACAATTTCCTTTGATTACTTTAATTGCGCGCTGAAAAAGACAAAGTAATTGTTGAAACCTACACATGCGTGCTGAAAAAGACAAAGTATTGTTAAAACATACACATTCGTATTTTAACGTAATTTACGGGTAATAAATTTTATTAATTAATTTATTTGTAATAACAACTAATAGTGTTCATCTATTTTTTGGACCTAGACTTCCTTACTATTGTTTATACATTTGAACAAGCGAGTAGTTGATATTAAAATTTAAGTTCCTTATATCTCAGTAGAGGCGTTATAATAAATACAGGTTCGGGGAGGCACTAAAACGCGCCGTGAAATAACTTTTGGGGAAGCTAATGGGCAAGAACTAGATCTGGATTTAAACACGAGACCTTCCACTTGGCGGGCGACTGCTCTTCTTATTGAGCTATCTAGGTCCACACTCGAAACTCCTCTCGCTTGTTTATTCTATTTTACCGAAGAAAGTAGAAATAATATGCTAGCAGCGCGACTCCAGAGCTTGGTATCTCGATGGTTTAATTGTTTAATAGACCATCATGTGGATGCAGAATGGCTACAGTAAAGATGTTATATATTTGTAAATATGCGGTATGATTTAAGCCAAAAACGTTTAATCTTATTACATTGTTTTTATCACTGTATGTTGCCATATCATTTTGTTGTAAAAATTATATCTATATTTTACGATTTTTAAAATAATTTAATACAACGGGATTTATTTCAATTTTAGAATATAAAGATACTTTAGTTTGTGCATCTCCCATATTGGATCTACTATTTTGTGTTTTAATTATTTCGACATTTCATTAAAAACATGTAATATATACAATTTCATTAGAATTTATAAAAAAAAACGTATTTTCTTCTTTGCACAGTTTTCACATTCTATTTCTTTTATAATTTATTTTATCTGATCCCATTTTCGTATTTTGCAACCACAAAAATTTTTAGAAATTAAAACCGATATATTTTACTTTTAAAATAAAAATCGGATATAGCAGGATTAATACAGCATCCGTATAATGCCCACTCGTTCTCCCAAAGAAAAAAAAACGATTTTTTTGTTTGTCAACGACCACGTACTTTGTGTAAAAATTTCATTCTCTGTTTTAAAATCAGAATCACGCGTTTATGTAGCGCTTTCAAAGCTATTTTACATGCAAAATGCTAATATTTGATTGGGTCGGTATCTGTTAACTGAGACTTTTTAAGTATTGAATCTCTCGGAAAAAAAAGTTGCGAGTATAATTCCAATGTAATCATCGCTAAAATCCAATTAATTTAACAACTAAGTTATTCAGCGAAATAATTAGAGCGACGACAAAGACGCACTAATGCTCTTTGCGAATCTATCGTAATGTTCGCGCGATTCTATCTCGTTAACAACATGTTCAAAATTTGATACAACATCGTCTGAAGACTTCTGTAACTATTTCCATTAAATAGTCGCCATTCAATAGTCGATTTCAATCAATACTTGGGGCAATGAGGCACTCGCATGATATTTTTATTTCCCATCGTGCCATCGATAATGCGCATGTCTCTTGTGAGATAAAATGCGCATGTATTTGTGAGGGGGAAAGCTGCTGCTAAATTTTGTTCCAAAACCACTTGAAATCAGCAATTTACATCTTTATCATTGCAAGACTACAATTCAGGACATCTACTACGCTTCCTATTCCACAGAGTACGGTCTACATGAATACAGCTGTACGCTTTTGAGTCTTCCTTATTCGTATCATTTATTCAATTCAATCCTTCTGAGAGTTTCTACGCTTGAATCTGTAGCCTAATAGTACCAAAAGTACAGCGAAAAGTAAAACAGGAAATTTATAAGGCCAGATGTAACAGTATACATTGATATTTAATTAATTACTCAGATAAATGCGTTCTCTGAGAATACTAGGTTAATAGCAATCATGATTTTGCAGGAAGCAAAAATTGATGTGGGATAAAGAACTGTTGCTGAGTTTCTCCATCCGAAATTAAAGCAAGGATATTTGATGCGCTTGTGCAAATCCCTACATCCACAGTGATCGAAAGGATACAAAAGGATCAGCATGACATCACAAGATACTATCATCTCGGTAAAGGAGGAAGATCTAATCAGCGTCGTAACATCATTTATCCACTCAAACTCCACGTCGATTACCAACAATGTTCAGCCAGCTGCTACATTTCTTTCCTTTTTTATAAACTTTCCTGGCGATTTTTCACCCTACAATGCAATAGAGGTAAGCGAGATATTATCAACGTAATTTCAAAAGAATCTACTTTTTTGCAGTAATAAAATGTCTTAACACAAACACACTTCGCACGAACAAATGGGCGAATGAGTGACAATATTTTATTACGTTCTAGAACAACATTTTTTTTTCGAATGACTGGCTAGAAAAAGTGAGTAAAGATAAGGGAATGAGAAGGAAGAAGGATGCGTTACAAATTAAGATTAATGCACAACCTTTACAAGTTTTTAAAGTAGGCATAATTATTTTACAAATTAATTCAATGTAGATTTTACACTTGAAGAGACAAATATAAAATTACTTTCGCGTCTTCAATACATTGATAACCTACTTTTAAGATATCATAACGTTTTAAATTCTTATCTCCAACAAATTGTTGCTTACTTTCCTCTTGTTATTTAGTTCAGCAAATATGTAACTTTGTAACGTTTACTTTAATCAGGGTTAGTTTACAAAAGCCTTTGTGAGTCTAATTAAATATTTACCAGAAAATAATTCTAGTCTATAGCTAAGAGTGATTTATGTTTAAAAATACATCAATACCACCAAGAAAAAATCACATAATACATGAATTAATTATAGTCTTAGTATAAACAATTCCAAATTTATTTATTCAATTATATTTATAATTCTTTTAATTCTTCACGCGTTGCTCCGCGACTAGATTATCAATAATTTATTGAAAACTAAACATATAAAATACAATATTTTAAGAAACAGACTTGTGTTTATACAATAAATTTTTTTGCAAATAAGTGCAATCTTTGCAAATAAAAATTGCACACAATGTATCATTTTTCTCATACTTTTATAAATTAATGAATACAAATATATTTAATGATACAACATAATTATGTCGACTCAATTTCCATATGACATTATTATAATTTAATTTATTTATAAAAGTCCATTGTTAGATTGATTTAATTTACACGCACGCACGCTCGCACATACATATCAATTTTCATTGTTCTTATACATGACTGCATAATCCACTATATTAAGCGATTGTTGCAAAAGTATAGAGAAATGATGCATACTTTTTATAAACTTTAGTCCTGATATTTCCATGAACTGTTTATCAGCGGATTACAAGAACCGCAAACTTGTTTGTTGATTAAGTTTGCTTAAACCTACTAATCTCACTATCACAAGCCTGTATGAAACACAGGATATTATAGCTTAACTGCTTGCGGAAGAGTTAAACGTTGATTGTGTCATCAGTGTTTGACCCTAGAGTATACATATGTAAATTTGTACTCATATATAAATATGTAGTAAATAACATTTCGTTTCTCTGTATGCAATAAAAATAAAGAAGAATTAAGCTGAATGAAAAAAAGACATATATAATGTTATCAAATTAAATGCATTTACTTAATTGTCTCGTGAATGCGAAATCAAATTTTGCAACATTAAGAAATTGAGCTGTTAATAATTTATACTGACATTAAATTATTTGCTATGCCTACTATCAAAAACTAAGTTGAATTAATATATGTATGTACGTACACGCATATATTTTTTATTTGATATTAATTTATATGTTCTTGAGTTCTTTTTGAAAACAAAAATTGTTATAAATTAATCCTTGACTAGCGATAGGGTTATTCAAAATGAGTTTTGTTAATTTTCGAAGATTACTTGTACTTTTTTAAAAAACTGTATTTAAAAAACTGTTACTTTCTTCTGCTGTTTGTGCAATAATAAAAAATGCAATAATACGCTTCATCATCCAATACGTCAAAAAAATTGCAATTAATGTGTCACTGTGTTAAAAGAATCCGCGTTTATTACATGACAATGACACATGGGAATTTTGAAAAAAAAAAATGTATTTCTTATTTAGGCATTTTTTCTGACCGTGCTGCTCCTCCTCATCACGTTCCTGACGATAGCAGGTAATGCTACCATCTTTTTCATCATCATATACTTCAAGAGATTTCGACGCTCCAACTACTTAGTGATTAGTTTGGCTGTGAGCGACTTGCTGGTCGGCTTAGTGGTAATGCCACCGGCAATAATCTACCAAGTGTCGGGCGATTGGTACTTCGGTTCTACTTCGTGCCACATTTGGCTCAGCGCCGATGTGCTCAACTGCACCGCTAGCATTTTCAATCTCTGCATGGTTTCCATAGACCGGTGAGTTCATTACCAACGATTTACGATTTTCACGAAAATTGGAATCGTGCCACAGGCAGATGATTATGTTTGTCTAACTTTCTTCGCGGATATGCACTTCAATATTAAGGAAAGTAGGATAAAACACACACACATTATAATGCTATAAAAAGATAAATTGGTGCATGGTTGGACTTCCCGTATAAAGGTTACTCATTGTCAACGATGTCAGTTAATTAACTCACAGTTAAATATTTTAGTCTCAATTTGGCCTCTTCTTGATTTTTGAACTAGAAGCAATAAAGCTAAAGTAGAGCTTTTGCGCTGGAGAAGAGTATGTTGGATTTTTAGCTTCAGATTAGCCTGAATAGTCGCTATTTCCCTTTTAGTAGTGAAGAGGCTAATACAAGACTAATCAACAGAGATTCACACAGTGGATTCTCTTTGATCCTTCATCATTTGATCCTTAATTGATCCTCGATGCTAAATAGCTCACAAAGAAAAATAATTGTTTAAATTAAAAGAATCGTTACAATTATTTTATTAATTTTCGTAATAATGAATACAATTGCAAAGTGCGTCATTTATTATCAATTACTGTGATGATTTTAGAATTTTTTTTCTTTTTAAATATGGTTTTACGTTGTAAATTTGAAGTAGATAATTTGTCAGTGTTATTATTCGAAAGTTATTATTTCGCTGTTATATAACAAATTAAAGTAGATATATTTATTATTTCACATTCTTTTTCTGCTGAACATTTTTTTCAAAAATATCACGTAATTGACAATGCAATTGACAACTGATACTGTTAGATTTGAGGCTATTTGTAGTCGCTATATCGAACGGTAATTGAAGAGTATCTATTGAAATATTATCTGTTAATCATACACAACGCGAAGAAATTAATTTTTTCTTGCATATTTATATAAATAAATATTATAAAGAATAAAGTTATGACAAACAACGTTATGATTTTTTAGCAGTCAATAATCAAAAAGTTATTTTAAATCTCTACTTTACTTATTGAAGAAAAAAAAGGAAACAGAGAATAAAGGGAAAGAGAGAATTCTGCTAGATACGAAGTGAGAGTGACACTGTTTAAAAGATCTCAAAGAGAGTAAAATTGATTAAATTCTGTTCGAAGGTTAAAATGAGATTAAAAACTTAACTCATGTGCGCCTCAAAATTGAGTTTTAAATCGACTTGGAATTCCAAATTAAGACAAAATAAAGTAATTGAGGCCCATTCCAGGACCAAATTACTCGATTCGGTACGATTTCCACATTGGTTGTAATGCTAATGGTATTCACACAAACGTAACGATTAAATAGGATTACTACTAACTGTTGATGCAACGAACATTCTCAGTTTGTAATACATTATTAGCTGATTAACGGATTACCAAAAATTGGAAGGCCATAAATATAGATATAGATGTACTCCAATGGGATACGTGCCTCACTATCAAAAAGTTCAAATCTATTCTTTTATTTTTCAAATAATTAATCACCCTTAAAAAGGACAGATACATCCTAACACGTCGAATGTAGGTCAAACAAAAAGACAAGCATTAGACTTAAAGAACGCAAAAATACTGTGAAAATGGATCCATCTTAAAAATTCAGTTATCACCGAACTTGTTTGGAAGCGTAATCACACTTTTAATTGAAATAATATAAGGCTTTTTGATACCGAGGATAATTTTCATAAAAAAAACTTATTTCAAATCGATAATCATAGAATAAACAGATTTGGCCAATTTTATTTTCTCGATAAATTAGTTGATATATAAAAATATCGAAATTTTCAGCATTCTCATATTTCTTTTCTGTGTTAAAGATTCTGGCTGATCATGAAACCGCTAAAATATGAAACGAAGAGGACGAAGCTACGGATGTCGCTGTATATCGTCATCATTTGGTCTCTAGCCATGTGCATTAGTCTACCGCCTCTTTTAACGATGGGAAATGAATATGAAGAAGTACAAAACGGGCCCACGCTCTGTGCGCTTTACCAGCATTTTATCTACCAAATTTACGCAATTGTAGGGAGTTTTTACATTCCGCTGCTTGTTATAATTCCGGTTAGTATAAGTGTATTTAGACAACAAAATATTTTAATATAATTTAACATACATTATATTCTTCATATATTTATATTAACTCACATGACCATTTCTCTTTTCACACTTTTCTGTTAAATACACACACATAGACGTTTTCGAACTCTGGTTACAAATTATTTTTATGTTTAAAACAGTTAATTTTGTTGCACTGTTAATAAGAAGTTTCGATGTTATTTCCTGTTTATGTCAAAAAGGATGAAATACTGTAATTGATAGTGCAAACATACTTGATTAAACTAACATGTGTTTCTTTTTTTTATTTGCATTACTTCGTTAATGTGGCATCTTACCCTGATCTACCATATAGCAGCAGTTTAGGTGTAATAAATACTATTAACAAGTCATGAGTTTTGATTTTTAGTAGTAGCACACTCATATGCGCGTGCGCAAGCGAGAGGAAAAGGCGTAAATTCAATTGGATAACTTACGGGTGATATATCTTAGGTGGATAATATTAATGCTGGCAGTATTTAAATTTTAAAGACTTATACTTCACGAAGGTCTCATAGAAAAAAGTATGTAACCAATGTTTCGGAAACATCTCTCAACTCATCTAATTAAAATGGGACACTCTGTATTCGAGGTGGATAATTAAAATAGGACACCCAGTATGTTACTTATAATTAATTAATAAAGATCTATAAAGCAGCGTGCCAAGTCACGACTCGGCGTCACACGTCACATTCGTGCGTAGCTGTTGTTATTTAAAAAACTTCCTCTCAATACCGCGTACGTAACAATTGTAAATATAGTTTTTTGTTGCGGATACACTCTGATTCGCAAATTCTCATTAAATAATCTTCAATTATTTATTGCGAAAGTAAAACATAAGGAAAAATTTTCTATCCAGTTTCCTTTTCTACATAACTACGGCCGGCTTTGCACTTATTATTACGCACCCTGTATATGTGACAGTATACATATATGTCGTAATATTTCAAACTATTATTTCTTTCTCACTTGCTATAAGTTTTACTGATACAATATTTTTCACGTGTTAAACTACAGCAGAAAATAGTTTATGTATATTGGAAAACAAAAAAATCGATTTTTTCATTAAAATTGCATTAAACTTATTATTTAAAAAAAATGAAAAAAACTGTAGGTAATTGCAATAAAAATACCGGAATATAAAATTGCCTTTTGCTTAAAAACTGCAAAATACTTTAAACACATCTTTAGTCGAGAGCAGTTGTACAGGTTTTTATTAATTCGTACAAGCCTCACTTTATAATTCGTCCACGTACAGCAGGCGTTGCGAATATACTATATGTGCAAGCTGAACGGTATATCAATTATGCAATTATTCGGAAAGATAAATTTGTCGCGCATAAATCATTCTGATGAACTGGAAAAGTTGCTTTCAATAATAATCCGTAGACAAAGATGAAATTACAATGAAACACGAAATAAACTAAACGGCACTCGCGAATAAAATCGTGATGTTGATGGATAATGTTAACATTAACGGTGCTTGCTCGAGCTACCTGTGCAAAATAATTTGTTATTAATACATAATTTACATCATTATTAGCGTAATCCTTATCATATTGACGCGCGTATGACATGCCATGATACGTAATCCATCTCCTATGTTTTAATATTTACAGAGGATTGCATAGGGCATTCCATATCCAATATTTTTCAATGTTCTTGCTGAAAATTCACTTGCTGCTATAATAATGCGAAAATCCTAAAACAATTTCGCAAACTCGAGCATATTCGAGTACGTTGGCAGTCCAATAAAGAATTATTGTACTAATATAACTCCATTTAATGTTTCTATTTAATTCTCGTTAACCCTTTCTTGCGTTTTCATATACTTTAGTAACAATTATATCAATTAATAAGTTATTTATTAATTGCAATTTATATTAATCTAGTAAAACTTGTTCCTTGAAATTTATCACGTGCTCTAAATTATCACTCTAATTACTTTAAAATATCCTAACTCCTCGCGTCGCTTTATTAATTATGTCGCTTTGCGCGTATGGTCAAGTAATTATAATCTTGCAGCAGAATCGCCAGAAGTATCTAATATTGCATGCAATATACACGTTAATTTTATACGCCCGACATAATTGCAAGTGCTCACTACAAATGTTCAAAGTGTACAAGTGGGAAATGCTATGCCCTGTGACAAGCCCAATGCTCATTGATGGCATCACACTCGGTAAATTAGGCGACACTGTCCTGAGATACGGCAACTAATCGAATTTAAAACAACAACTATGTAACGTTATTTAAATTAAATTACCCGCCTCGTGCCGTAAACGGTATTAACAATATCTAAGAAATAATTACTGACGTCAATTACCACGTAGCTACACAGTTTCGCAACTTTTCTAGAAAGAAACATGACTTTGCATGGCTGCAACTTTAGCACAACTATAATTTTTTATCGAAATATCGAGATATGCTGATAATTTCTTATCAAATGTATCATAAACGCACTCGCGTGACATGTGTTATTAATTATGTTGCAGATAAATTATAAATTATTTAATGCCGCACGCGATAAATCTGCCATGAATTATCAAGTGGGTCGGTTTGACATGGAATTGGAGCCAGACGTCAATCCGTCATGCGATCGCCATAGGATCATACGTTCAACCATCTGTCCACGACATTCCCACAACGAGCGTGTAAGGCCAAGTTTGCCGGAAACACACTTAAGAAATATCGCCTCATCTACAGTAAGTCATATGTACTGTATCATAGTTATACTTTTGATTTTTGCATCAACAGAATTAAAATAGAGTATCTATTTCACGTGGATCAAATTCGATTAAGGATCAAATTCGAATTAATGTGGAAAATTAATTCTAATCACTGAATACATCAATCTTTACGATGCTATTTTATCAGAACAATTCCTTCTTCTTTTTCTGAACTCGATTTCAAATATTTTAATTTTTCTTAAAATAAAATCCATTTAGAATTATTTAAACCGAATTACGCACATTGTTTCACAAATTTAATTAGCATTTAACTGTAGTTACAAATTAATGGCCAGTATAATTTGGGACGCAGTTAAATCCATTAAAGATCTCAGAAGAGGTCGAAACCGGTTTTAGGACTCACAAACAATTATAATTAGTTGTATAATATTATAAACTTTAATTTGCCATGATCCAAACTGACCGCCGATACATGAACAGCAACAACGCGACATTATGTGGATATTAATGAGTTATATAAATAAATTTATTTTAATCATATATTAATTGGTATTCTTAGATTTATTCTTAAATTTATTTATAATTATAGCAGTGCATCATATCACTCACATGCTACAACATAATGCAAAAATTATCATTTTTTAGTTGTTGTAAAATAATGATAAGTATTCTGTACATACTGAATGAAATGCTAAAATACATATAATTATAGTTACACTTTTGTTCTTTACAATTACAGTCATTACACCAAAATTTTTAAATAATATTACAAAATTTTATTAACTCGAAACATTTAAATTCATTTTCTGGAAGATTTCATTTTTTCAATTGTTGTTGTCATAGCGAATGAGCGATATCTTAATGATATCGAGATGTATGAATATGTATAATATATTATATGGTATCCATATGCGTGGTGTATCCGCCAAAAACTAGATCTCGCTCTGGAGCGTGTTCCGATATTTCTGCATGACGAAATATAAGATTCTATATGTCGTCAAGAAGTATTTGAACATATCAAATATGACTCATTGATCGGTACGTGCATCAACTGATCTTCAAAAATAAAATGAATTTATTTCTGTTCTTTCAGATTATTGCAATATTTATATGACAACGTAACGCTGCCTCAATGTAGTGTCACAATTTATTATAACAAAAAGCAAATTTCTAAGGTATAATTATTTTAATATTTTTAATTTTTAATTTTTTATTACTCATTCATCATTTAGTATTATAATTTTTATTAATTTAAATGTATTATAGCTTTATGTTTATTGGTCTTTGTTACGAATATTACTAAAATGTATTGCATTATATTGATAAATGACTAACCATGTACAGGGTGTCCCATTTTAACCGAATCACCCGTAAAGGGTAGTCAGAACAGGGCAAAATTAAGTAGAAAAGTCATGTATGTACCATGTAAAATTCAATAGTTTTTTAGTAATAAATAAAAACGTCTGAGCGAATAAACGCACACGAGAAGCAGTAGGCTAGTCTCGGCAGACATGCAAAATAGTTTACTTGTTTACATCTTTTACAATTTGATAAACGAAGGACAAGAGACAAGTGAGAAATATCTAAAAATTGATCCTGATATTTGTAATCTCCAGAGAATCGCATTGCAGGTCATTTGCGTATGACAAAACAGTTGAACAGGATTCGATTTACCTTGCGTAAAACATTCATATATTTCATATGTGCAATAAAATAAATGTTTAACAAAAATATGCATTTATTGTTACATTTGCCGATTTAATAACAACATTATGCATTCTATATTAAAGTAAATAAATCACCTCTCATATCTTTATATAATAACTAATGGAGAAATCAATTTATAATGTAAATAAGAGTATAATGAACATTTTTCTGGCGCAAGAAGTCTGTATAAATTAAATTATATTATTATAATTTAAATATGAATTAATATAAAAAATACATCTGATTTGTATCAAGTGTTTCTCTTCGATTTTAATCAGTTTTTCAACTTTTAAACTAATTAGAAATTGAATTATTTTGTTTGCAATGTATAATATTATGGGCAAATGTAAAAACACTTTAGTTTTATAGATGCAGAATAGAGGTAATGCGTAACTCCGCATAAGAACAATCGACTATATTCGGCGGGTCTTGAGTTTGATTCCGAGTCTCTCACCATATGAGCTTTGTTTTTACCAGAGATTGATATGAAGAATTAAAGGCGAAGAAAATGAAAAAAGAAATATGAAATAAATTACTTGTTTTGAGAAATATTTCGACACTGAAATTAGAGAGAACAGACTATCTTTCACATTGTAAATAGAAAAATCGCGCAAAAATCCAATTTTGGTTGATGGAAAATCTAATTTGTATCAATCACATTGAAGGAGTTTAAAAAAAGAATGAAAATAACAGAGAAAATTGCAAGACTCGATCTGTATTTTTTGAGAGAAATGAAGACTCTTCATATTGTGAGATAGTGGAAGATATGAGAATTTTTTGTTATATGCAGACTTCATAATTCTTTTATTTCATATAATTTTGCGCCATATCGCCACAATCCTAAAAAATAATGTATACAAATCTAACGGACTTTGTCTACGAACACTTAAAATATGTCATTTTGAAATTTCCTTTATCGCTCATACCTGTATGTATAAAGCTCCACTTGAGAGCGCGATTTTAATTATTATTGAGTATTGTGATCTTTTAATTCAGTTGCAGTACATTTGTTATTATACATAGCCTGTTGTGCTTCGGTTTAGTTCAGTGGTCAATTATCGATTATTACTTACCATTAATTATCCGTGAAAAGACCACCGATGAATATCTAGCAACTTTCCCTCGAGTAGTGAATCTTGTTTCTTCTTTTTTTCTTCCAATATAATTAGAAAAATTACATTGTCTTTTAAATATAGGGCGGTCTTGTCATTAAATTATGGGGTAGTTTTTCATTTGGAGAGTAATCTCTTTCTAAGTTTATTATCTTCCATGATTTATATATCTATTCTCCCTTCTGCTCCGCTATTGCGGTTAACTAGCGTTTAGACTTTAACGTTTAATCAATCCCTTCCATCCTAAAAAGAAGAGAAAGAATTTATTCGTTCTCCTCTGAATTCTATAAGTTAACTCACGATTTTCCGAAAAGAAAATTTACGAGAAATTTAAACAATCGCCAAATACGTGCGAAATCGATGAAACAGACAAATACGTAAGATTCTAGAGAAATTTTGCACCGTAAACTTAGAGATACTCCGTTATTCATTCATCATTCTTCCATTTTCCTTCTTCCAGCGAATGGATTTTTATTATCCTGGTTAATCCAGATCGGATATCTCTTTGTACTTTTATATCCTTTTATTCTTACGGCCATAACATTACTCATCACAGGTTTTTATCTCCTCACTTGAACTCTTCGATTTAGTTCCATCGCCAATCTTTAACGCGCTACTTCCCACTTTCCTTTCTGGAGAATCCGTCATCTCCGTTTTCTTTATATGCCACATCTTTCGACGTGGAATTTATTGAGGAAATCTCAATTCTCTCGCCCTTCGAGCAGAGCAATGATTTCGACGGACTCTTGTTTGCCGATCTCGACGTTCGGTTTCCTTAATCCGGCTGTCCTGTACACACGGAGAAAATTTTCTCTAAAAATTTTTCTTGAAAATCATGTAACCGTGGGACAACGCAACATTTGGGAGAATATTATGGGAATTTTTTGCAAATTTTACCATACATTTTATTAGTAATTGTACTTAGTATACATTTTACTAGTAAAATTTCAGGAACTCTCATACAGTTCTTCAAAATGCCATGTTGTCCCACGATTACATGATTTTCAGGGTAAATTTAAGGGAAAATTCTCTTCTTTCTCCGTAGGAATATATGCTGTTGGTCCCGAGGAATTCGATTTAAATAAACTCAGAACTGTAATGCCAAGGCTTACACTCGATATTGCTTCAATGAGCCATCCTAACTCGTACATATATGTATGTCTGAAAATCTCGCGTATGTACACACATTTATAGCGGTCTTTTTTTTTTCTTGACAGATAAATTATGTTAAATATTTTCACAATTTTACTTTGACATAACTAAATATTCTTATTGATAAGTTAATTTATATTAATCGTGAGTTTCTTTTATTTGATTAACCTCATTCTACACCCGTGACCTTCGTGAAATCGCACGAAATCTATTCTTTTATAATAATTGGGTTCATTTACTAAAATAAAAATCGAAACATGTGACGTCTTACAGAAAATGTCATAGCGTTCTAAAGAACCATTGACTGACACATTTGCAGAGTTGCACAATGCACTCGATTCTCACGCGTCTCAGGAGAAATTCTGTAGCGTCTCTTTTAAGTCTATATAAATTATATTTACAGAATGAAAGAATTCTGCGACTTGAATGCAACATTCGACTCTATTGTTAATATATAAACACAAATGCAGAGAGAGAGAGAGAGAGAGAGAGAGAGAGAGAGAGAGAGAGAGAGAGAGAGAGAACTTGAGAGTAATAACACGTAAATTACAAAATGAAGAAAATGCATAAGAATGCATGAGAATCAGTTCTACGTAAGAATTTTAAAATTGTCGTTCATTTTATACATTTCAAATGATTTTATCATATTTATTTCAACTTCTTGCTCTTCTTTGAGATACAATCTTGTATTTTTCTTGAAATGTACTGCTTTCAGAAAGAAACACAGTCCGTAAAATTTTATAAAAAAGAAAAACCAAAACAGAACGTACGTTTGTTCGTGCCACACAAAATCCACAAGACTCTGTTGTCGAATATCCTGGCCCTGACAGAGTGGAGAGTCTCGAGCTAGCGGTCGTAGGATCGTTTATGAAAAGGAAATTCGGAAAAGGGATATCTTTCGCCAGATACTAACAACGTAATAATTCAGATTTAACATATGTGTATTTTGTTCGGGTCGAGACCAAATCGTTCCGGAATTTACAAATCACAGAAACTAGCTAACGAAAAGAATTTCATTAAAACTGAACGACGTAATTTACTTGT